CCTCCACTTGTCTGCCTATCTGGAGGTAGGACAAGAACTCCAGCAAAGACCACAGGTTTCTGGCCAGAAAAGCAACACCCCAAAGATCCTTTAACACTTCTTGATGCAGCGACAGTAACATGTGCATAACTATCTCAAGAAGGGCACATGAGACGTTGGAAATGTGCTCATCTCTGGGAGGGAATCTGGGCACAGGAGGTCTGGGAAGGGAGGAAAATTTTCTCTGTATACTCTCTGGAATATCTTTTTTTTTTTTTTTTTTTTTTTTTTTTTTTTTTTTTTTTTTGAGACAGAGTTTCACTCTTGTTACCCAGGCTGGAGTGCAATGGCGCGATCTCGGCTCACCGCAACCTCCACCTCCTGGGTTCAAGCCATTCTCCTTCCTCAGTCTCCCAAGTAGCTGGAATTACAGGCACCTGCCACCATGTCCAGCTTTTTTTTTTTTTTTTTTTTTTTTTTTTTTTGAGACAGTCTCGCTCTGTTGCCAGGTGCCAGGCTAGAGTGCAGGAGTGCAATCTCGGCTCACTGCAGTCTCTACCTCCTTGGTTCAACAATTCTCCTGCCTCAGCCTCCCAAGTAGCTGGGACTACAGGTGAGGGCCACCACGCCCAGCTAATTTTTGTATTTTTTGGTAGAGATGGGGTTTCACCATATTGGCCAGGATGGTCTCAAATTCCTGACCTCAGGTAATCCACCCACCTCAGCTTCCTGAAGTGGTGGGATTACAGGTATGAGTCATTGTGCCCAGCCAAAGGTTCTTTTTAAAACATGTTAACCTGGGGTGCGTGTGGTGGCTCACACCTGTAATCTCAGCACTTTGGAAGGCTAAAGCTGGGGGATTGCTTGAGCCCAGGACTTGAAGACCAGCCTGGGCAACATGGTAAAACTCTGTCTCTAACACACACACACACACACACACACACACACACACACACAACCAAAAACCAAAAATTAGCTGAGCCTGGTGGCACACATCTGTACTCCCAGCTACACAGGAGGCTGAGGTGGGAGGACTGCTTGAGCCCAGGAGGTGGAGGTTGCAATGAGCCTAGGTCGCATCTACCACGGCACTCCAGCCTGGGCCACAGAGCCAGACCCTGTCTCAAAAACAAAAGAAAACATGGTACATGAAAAGTCCCTCTAATTGGTAAAGCGCTCCCCAGTGGCCCCAATTTACCCACACATGGAGGTGCAACGGGGTCCAGGCTCAGGCCTTCCTCAGGTCGTTCCTCCAGATGCCCAGGTGCTCACACCTCAGAGCCTCTGTATGGCTGCTCCCCTGCCTGGAAACTCATTTCCAGGAGTTTCTCCTGGGGGTCCCACCAGAGGCCCTTCCTGGAAGGCTCACCTCCTGTGGCATTGACAGCCCTTCTTCACTCTGCTTCACGTTGTTCACAACTCTTTTTTTTTTTTTTTTTTTTTTTTTTTTTTGTGTGTGAGACGGAGTTTCGCTCTTGTTACCCAGGATGGAGTGCAATGGCGTGGTCTCGGCTCACTGCAACCTCCGCCTCCTGGGTTCAGGCAATTCTCCTGCCTCAGCCTCCTGAGTAGCTGGGATTACAGGTACGTGCCACCATGCCCAGCTAATTTTTTTTATTTTTAGTAGAGACGGGGTTTCACCATGTTGACCAGGATGGTCTCAATCTCTTGACCTTGTGATCCGCCCGCCTCGGCCTCCCAAAGTGCTGGGATTACAGGCTTAAGCCACCGCGCCCGGCCCTGTTCACAACTCTTTCACTAACATTTAAAAATATATTTAATTGCTTATAGTCTCTGTCTCTGTCTCTGTCTCTCTCTCTCTCTCTCTCTCTCTCTTTCCCAGAATACAAGCTTTATGTGGACAAGGACAAAGATTTTATTTTATTGTTTTTAATTTTTGTTTTTGAGATGGAATCTTGCTCTATCTCCCAGATTGGAGTGCAGTGGCAGGATCTTGGCTCACTGCAAACTTCTCCTCTCCCTGAGTTCGAGCGATCCTGCCTCAGCGGCCTGAACAGCAGGGATTACAGGCGCCTGCCACCACGCCTGGCTAATTTAGTATTTTAGTAGAGACAGGGTTTCACCATGTTGAACAGGTGATTTGCCCGCCTCAGTCTCCCAAAATGCTGGGATTATAGGCATGAGCCACCGCACCTGGCCAGGACAAATATTTTAATTGCAGATGTATTTCTGTTGTCTTGAATAGTGCCTGATTTGTTTTTTTTTTTTTTACTTTTTTTTTTTTTTTTTGAGACGGAGTTTCACTCTTGTTACCCAGGCTGGAGTGCAATGGCGCAATCCCGGCTCACTGCAACCTCTGCCTCCTGGGTTCAGGCAATTCTCCTACCTCAGCCTCCTGAGTAGCTGGGATTACAGGCATGTGCCACCATGCCCAGCTAAGTTTTTGTATTTTTAGTAGAGACGGGGTTTCACCATGTTGACCAGGATGGTCTCGATCTCTCGACCTCGTGATCCACCCGCCTCGGCCTCCCAAAGTGCTGGGATTACAGGCTTGAGCCACCGCGTCCGGCCTTTTTTTTTTTTAAGGTGCGGTTTCACTGTGATGGCCAGGTTGGTCTTGAATTTCTGACCTCAGGTGATCCACCTACCTTGGCCTCCCAAAGTGCTAGGGTTACAGGCATGAGCCGTGGCGCCCCGCCATCCCTGATTGTTATATTTGCTGAGTGAATGAATGAATGGATGCACACACAGACTCACACACCCCAGCACAGAAACAAAGATACTGCCAGACACATCGACATGTTCTTACACAGATACTCTCCACACAATGACACTCACACCCAGAGCCCACATACACTGCCACGTTCTCATACAGATATTCTTGAGGCTTAATTTTTATTCAACATGATGTTGTGAACATTTCTCTTGTGACTCTGTATTATTATCTTTTAAATTTTCTCCAAATTACTGTAAAAAGTTTCAGTCTTAAAGGTTGAAAGAATATAATGGTCACCCCTAGAGCTAATGTATGTAATAAATTATGGTTTTTTTTTTTTTTTTTTTTTTTTTTTTGAGACAGAGTCTTGCTCGGTCGCCCAGGCTTGGTGCAATCTTGGCTCAGTGCAACCTCCACCTCCCAGCTCAAGCGATTCTCGCCTCAGCCTTCCAAGTAGCTGGGATTACAGGCACATGCCACCACATCTGGCTAATTTTTCTGTTTTTAGTAGAGATGGGGTCTTACCATGTTGGTCAGGCTGGTCTTGAACTCCTGGTCTCAAGTGTTCCATCCATCTTGGCTTACAAAAGTGTGTGAGCCACCACACCCAACCCATAAATTATATTTATACAGTTTTTCTGAAATGACTGAAAATCATTAGTCAACAGCATGACCCTAATTCCTAACCATTTGTCCGTAGCATGACCCTCCACCTCTTAAGAATAACATCTTTTGGCCGGGTATGGTGGCTCAAGCCTGTAATCTCAGCACTTTGGGAGGCTGAGGCGGGTGGATCACAAGGTCAAGAGATCGAGACCATCCTGGTCAACATGGTGAAACCCTGTCTCAACTAAAAATACAAAAAATTAGCTGGGCATGGTGGCGTGTGCTGTAATCCCAGCTACTCAGGAGGCTGAGGCAGGAGAATTGCTTGAAACCAGGAGGCGGAGGTTGTGGTAAGCCGAGATGGCGCCATTGCACTCCAGCCTGGGTAACAAGAGTGAAACTCCGTCTCCAAAAAATAAAAAGAAAAAAAAGAATAACATCTTTTGGCGGGGCATGGTGGCTCACGCCTGTACTCCCAGCACTTTGGGAGGCTGAGGTAGGCAGATCACGAGGTCAGGAGATCGAGACCATCTGGCTAACACAGTGAAACCCCGTCTCTACTGAAAACACAAAAAATTAGCCAGGCCTCTACTAAAAATACAGAAAATTAGCCGGGCATGGTGGCTCCCATCTGTAGTCCCAGCTAATCGGGAGGCTGAGGCAGGAGAGTTGCTTGAACCAGGGAGGTGGAGGTGGCAGTAGCCAAGATTGCACCACTGAACTCCAGTCTGGGCCACAGAGCGAGACTGGATATCCGCATGTGAAAGAATCGTGTTGGACAAAATTCATAGTCTTCCCTACATCATACTCAACAATTGACTCAGAATGGATCAAACAATTAAACTTAAGAGTCAAACCTGTAAAAGGCTTATAAGAAAACATTGAGGAAAGTCTTGTGGACATTTGATTCAGTACTAGTTTCTTGGCTGGATGACCCAAAGCACCAGCAATTGAAGAAAAATGGTAAATGAGATTTCATCAACATTTAAAAACCTTTTGCATCAAAAGGCGTTATTAAAAGAGTGGAAAGAAAATGCACAGAATGGGAGGAGTTCCACCTTTTGGCTATTGAGAATGATGCTGCTGCGAGCCGCGTGTACAAGTATCTGTTTGAGTTCCTGCTTTCAATTCTTTTTGCGTGCGCTTTTGGCATCCACTTTGTGTCTCTTTCCTGATCCCAGTCACATATCTGATGAAGAATTAGTATCCAAAATACATACAAACTACGACTTATCAATTAAAAAAAAAACCCTATTCAAAAATGGGTAATGGACATGAAGAGACAATTCACTAAAGAAGAAACACAAATGGCTAATAGACTCATGAAACATGCTGAGCTTCACTAGGCTGACTGTCAGTGAGGAGGTGGAGACACTGAAATCCTTGTACACTGCTGGTGGGAATGTACAATGTTGCAGCCACCATGGAAAACGGTATAGTGATTCCTCAAGAACGTAGCAATGGGATTACCATATGATCCAGCATTTCCACTTCTGATCATGTAACCAAAAGAACTGAAAGCAGATACTCAGGTTCTCAAACAGATATTTGTACACTCGGGCTCATAGCAGCATTGTTTTCAATAGCCGAAAGGTGGAAGCAAGCCAAGTGTCCATAAATGGATGAATGGATTCAGAAATATGGTATATACGCATGGACTATTACTCAGCCTTAAAATGAGTAAAATTCTGACACATGCCACGACACAGATGAATCTTGAAAACATTATGATCAGTGAAATAAGCCAGAAACCAAAGGACAAATATGTGATTTCACTTACAAAGAATAGGCAAATTCATAGAAACATTCTTTCTTCCTCAGTTCATTTCTTTTTGTCTTCCCACTGATAGTCTTTGGCGGCTCTTGAATAAATTCTACCTGTTGGCATCAAGGGGAAGAAAATTAGCCTGGCAATTTTTGTCTTTACATAAAGCCAATTACATAGTAGTTCAGTTATGAATTCTAGGTGAAAGAATTAGAATACTCATTGGAATGGGTTTTGGGTAACAACCAAAGAAGGGAAAAGGGTATTGTTGAGGAAATTTGTCTTGATATTAAATATTTACTGCAAGTCCAAAGGACCAAACAAAATAGGTTTAGGGTTTCATTTTTATCTCAAAGATTCTGATTCTTACCCATATGTCATCAGTTCAGTTTGGGACATGTGGTATGTAACATGAGTGAAGAAAATAGTCATTAAAAGGTAAAAATAAACAGTTGAAATTTTCCATAACACTGAGCAAATGTCTATCATAATTAGGAGACCTACCTTTCTGGGATATTTGTAAGGTGCTGTAGTTTCTTTAACATGCTCTTGAATCTCCTTTATTCGTTGTTCTTTTTTTTTTTTTTTTTTTTTTGAGACGGAGTTTCGCTCTTGTTACCCAGGCTGGAGTGCAATGGCGCGATCTCGGCGCACCGCAACCTCCGCCTCCTGGGTTCAGGCAATTCTCCTGTCTCAGCCTCCTGAGTAGCTGGGACTACAGGCACGCACCACCATGCCCAGCTAACTTTTTGTATTTTTAGTGGAGACGGGGTTTCACCATGTTGACCAGGATGGTCTCGATCTCTTGACCTCATGATCCACCCACCTCGGCCTCCCAAAGTGCTGGGATTACAGGCTTGAGCCACCGCGCCCGGCCCTATTCGTTGTTCTTAATCATGTGACTTGTAATCAGGGTTCAGAACAATAAAAGCCTTTACTACCTAAAGTAAATATTTGATATTCAGAAGGCTGAGGCAGGAGAATTGCCTGAACCCTGGAGGTGGAGGTTGCGGTGAGCCGAGATCGCGCCATTGCACTCCAGCCTGGGTAACAAGAGCGAAACTCCATCTCAAAAAAAAAAAAAAATAAAATAAATAAGTAAAATAAATAAATATTTGAAACACCGGGGTGGGGGGGAAAAAAAAAAAGAAGTGTTGTGCACGCCACCTGTTGCACACAGCCTACCTCTGTGCCTTGGTGACCTAGTGGGGGTGGACCCCTTTTCTGTACACGACCCTCTACTGCTGCGAATGGTACAGCCTCCTGCTGTGCACGGCCCACCTCTCTGCCCAGGTGACATAATGGGGTGGCCCCCTCGCTTGTGACCCACGTGATTATGTATGCCCTATCACTAAGCCTATAGATGATGACCTCACTCACGACCCTGCCCCCTGCTTGTGTCTAATAAATACAGATACTCTTGGGCATTTGGACGCTGCTGCCGCTGATCTCCGCTCACAGGTGGTGTGGCCCCCCGAGTCCAGATGCTCTTCACCAGTTCTTCAGTGTCCTGTCTCTTTACTGCTTGGATCCTGCACCTCAGCACAGCATAAGGGACACCCCACAACCCTGTGGGACCTCCACAGCCCTACTTGCAGTCCGGGAATCTGGGCTTTAAAAGCTCTCATATTTCTGTGTGTGTGCTGATGTTTGATGAGCACACTGTCTCTGTAGAGTAGTGGCCCTTGGAGCTCCCTGTGCCACCACGTTCTCTGATGTCAGTTCCCTCAGCTGCTTTTGAGTTGTGCATATGCATCCCAATTCCCGGTCTGCTAATTATTTCCAGGAAATGCATTCGTTTGGTAAAGATTCATCAAGCACCTGTCTTATTCTGGGTCCTGTTCTCTATGTAGCAGTCTCAGAAAAAAGAATGAAACTTCCTTGGACCTCATGGATGGCACAGCCTGGATGGAGGTGGGAAGATGGATAAGCAAAGTGCAACATAACAAGTTAAGTGTTTGACATGATTTATTTCCTTTGAAGTCTATATTATTAATATTTTATAATAATGGTATTAATTTCCATATATCTATGATTACCAATGAATTTTTCTGTTTTTCTTCTTTCCTTTCATTTTTTGGTCTTTCTTTCTTCCCTTTTTTATTTTCTTCGAGAGGGAGTTTTGCTCTTGTTGCCCAAGCTGGAGTGCAATGGCATGATCTCAGCTGACTGCAACCTCTGCCTCCTGGGTTCAAAGGATTCTCCTACCTCAGTCTCCCGAATAGCTGAGATGACAGGCATATGCCACCACGCCCAGCTAATTTTTTGTATTTTTAGTAGAGAAGGGGTTTCTCCATGTTGGTCAGGCTGGTCTCCAACTCCTGACCTCAGGAGATCCAACTGCCTCAGCCTCTAGAAGTGGTGAGATTACAGGCGTGAGCCACCGTGCCAGTCTTTATTTCTTTTTTAATATACCTTAGTGACATACTAAATATTTGTAGAGGAAGTATTTTGCTGAAAAACCAACAGTTTTATTTACGTAAAAAGTCTTTGTTTGATTCTTTTTTTGCTTTGTTTTTGTTTTTGAGATGGAGTCTTGCTCTGCAGCCCAGGCTGGAATGCAGTGGAGCCATCTCTGCTCACTGCGACCTCGGCCTCCCAGGTTCAAGTGATTCTTCTGCCTCAGCCTCCCGAGGAGCTGGCATTACACGAGCCTGCCACCATACCCAGGAAACTTTTGTATTTTAAGTAGAGACAGAGTGTTGCCATCTTGGCCACTCTGGTCTCAAACCCCTGACCTCAAGTGATCTGCCTGCCTCGGCCTCCCAAAGTGCTGGGATTACAGATGTGAACCCCTGTGTCTGGACTTTTGTTTTTTTGTTGAAAGGTGGGTTTGCCAGCCACAAATTCCCAGTTTGATGTTGGGTTTTTCCTCAGCTGGTGAATGCTGATGTCTCTTCTGGCTACTGTGCCTGACAGGGAGAGATGTCAGCTACGTTCCAGTCCAGATGCATTTTAAACGACCTGTGTTTCTTCCATGGCTGCTTTCAAGACCACTGTTTGTCTTTACTGTCTGGAGTTCCAGTGCAGTCTGAGCCGATGTGGATCTCCTTTCATTCACGGGGCTGCGTAGACCTTTACTTAATCGTTTGCCATCACCTCGTTGTGGAATACCTCCTTTTCGTCACTCTCCTTTCATCTTCTAGGAGTTTTATTAGACTAATGTTAAACCTCATTCAGCCACTGTATCATTCTAGTAGGCAGAATAATGACCCCACAAATATGTTCAAACCCTAAGCTCCGGAACCTTTGGTTACATGTTCTTACATAACAAAGGAACTGCAGATATGGTTAAGGAACTGCAGATATGTGAACACTGAGAGGGAGATTATCCTGGGTTATTTAGGTGGGCTCAGTCTGATCAGGAATTCTTTTTTTCTTTTGTCTTTTTGACTTTTGTTTTAGGTTCAAGGGATACACATTCAGGTTTGTTACATGGGTAAATTGTGTATCATGGGTGTTTGGTGTGCAGATAATTTTGTTACTCAGGTAATTAGCACAATACCCGATAGGTAGTTTTTTTTTTTTTTTTTTTTTTTTTGAGACGGAGTTTCGCTCTTGTTACCCAGGCTGGAGTGCAATGGCGCGATCTCAGCTCACCGCAACCTCCGCCTCCTGGGTTCAGGCAATTCTCCTGCCTCAGCCTCCTGAGTAGCTGGGATTACAGGCATGCGCCACCATGCTCAGCTAATTTTTGTATTTTTAGTAGAGACGGGGTTTCACCATGTTGACCAGGATGGTCTCGATCTCTTGACCTCGTGATCCACCCGCCTCGGCCTCCCAAAGTGCTGGGATTACAGGCTTGAGCCACCGCGCCAGGCCCCGATAGGTAGTTTTTTAATCCTCCCCTCCTCGTACCCTCCCCTCTAGAGTAGGCCCCAGTGTCAGCTGTTCCCTTATTTGTGTCCACGTGTTCGCAATGTCCAGCTCCCACTTACAGGCGAGAATATGTGGGGTTTGGCTTTTGGTTCCTGCATCCATTTGCTTAGAATAATGGTCTCCAGCTCCACCCACGTTGCTGTGAAGGACATGATTTCATTCTTGTTGTTGTGGCGGGGTAGCATACCAGGGTGTACATGTACCACATTTTCTTGATCCAGTCCACTGTTGATGCACATCTAGGTTGATTCCTTGTCTTTGCTGATTGAACGGTGTTGCACTGATCACGAATTTTTTTTTTGTTGTTTTTTAGATGGAGTTTCGCTCTTGTTACCCAGGCTGGAGTGCGATGACACGATCTCGGCTCACTGCAGCCTCCGCCTCCTGGGTTCAGGAAATTCTCCTGCCTCAGCCTCCTGAGTAGCTGGGACTACAGGCATGCGCCACCATGCCCTGCTAATTTTTTGTATTTTTAGTAGAGACAGGGTTTCGCCATGTTGACCAGGATGGTCTCGATCTCTTGACCTCTTAATCCACTAGCCTTGGCCTCCCAAAGTGCTGGGATTACAGGCTTGAGCCACCGTGCCCGGCACAAATTCTTAAATGTGGAGAAAACTGAAGAAATTTAGAGTAGATGTAGTGTGGAATTTCATCTGCAGTGATTTCTGATCTAGTGAAATATGATTATCTCTTTTTAAATTATTGAATTAAGTGGTAAAATGCATTAAAAGATTTAAAGTTTAAATATTCTTGCTTTCTTGGGATACATCATGAACACAGTCTGCAATTTTTCTCATCTATTTTATATCTAATAATTAATAGTGATTTTTCTAGCATGTTTCTTTCTTATTTGTTCCCTAACTGGCTTTAGAATGAACACTATTTATATGTAATAAAGTGAATTGTCTAGCTTTCCATATATTGGCCCTTTCTCTTGAATATTTTAAATAAGTCCAATAAGCTTCCTTGAGGGTTTAGGAGAACTTCCCTGTGAAACAATCTCGATATGCCTGAATAGAAATAGAATTTTTACAACTGTTTTAACTTCGTTGTAGTAAGTATTTTCCTTTGGCACTTTTTTTTTTTTTTTTTTTTTCCCCCCCGAGATGGAGTTTCGCTTTTGTTACCCAGGCTGGAGTGCAATGGCGCGATCTCGGCTCACCGCAATCTCCGCCTCCTGGGTTCAAGCAATTCTCCTGCCTCAGCCTCCTGAGTAGCTGGGATTACAGGCACGCACCACCATGCCCAGCTAATTTTTTTGTATTTTTAGTAGAGACGGGGTTTCACCATGTTGACCAGGATGGTCTCGATCTCTTGACCTTGTGATCCACCCGCCTCGGCCTCCCAAAGTGCTGGGATTACAGGCTTGAGCCACTGCGCCCGGCTCCTTTGGCATAATTTTTAAAAAAATAATTTCAAGATTGTTTACATCTCCGCTATAGCTGCAGTGGCCTATTTATCTGTCATAACACTACTTTGTCATAACGTATGCTTATCATGTATATTTATTAGTATGTTTTATCATAACATATTTATCTGTCATAACACTGTCTTGCCTGTTTTTTTCTCTGTTCAAAGAAACAGCTGCTTTTGGCAGGCTGGGTCCTCAGCAGTGGCAGCTGCCAGGTCCGCCTTGGTGAGTGGTGACTCAATTGCTGTGCCCATGCAGTGTCCACCTCAGCCACCATGGTCACTTTGTGCAGCGATTCTACGAGCAAGCCCTGTGCGGCTGAGTGGCATCATCCATCAAGCCATCTCGCCCACCTGGTTACAGGGAGCCCCAGCCCCTTGGAGACCCTCTGGTGGGTATTCACATGCAACCTCGATCTTCACACGCTCTTCCCATGGAAAGAGGTCAGTGCACACTTCACTCTTCCACCTCCCCAATTCTCCAACTTTATTTTCCCCTAGTTCCAGACTGGCCAGGCAACCCATGAGCCACTGCCCATGATTCATTCATTCAGGCACTACTGGGGCATCATTTCACATCCTTTACCTCCTGTGATTCTGTTTGGGTTTGATTCCTAGTTCCTGGCTCGACAGCCATTTCCAAAGCTGTTCTGGTGTCAGCTCCCAAGCTGAATGCTGTTGTTGGAGATTCTCCTCTTTATATTTGAGTCATGGGCATTTATTTCCTGGAATTAAAAAAAAATTTACTGGTATTTTCAATGCAACATTTTTAAGGACTTGTAGTAGGAGAAATTCTATGTTAGCTTGGAGATAATTGTTTCAAAACACCAGAAATGTGTACTTGAATGGACAGCATGCATGGAGGAGGGGGGACAAATCACAGGTGGGCGGCGGGTTTTGACCAAGTGAAAACTCAGGCAAACAACATCTTCATCAAGCAACAGGATTTCTGGCCTCCAAGAAACACCCGAGTCCTACTCACTCATAAACCACCCTCCCCCAACTCTACAGTAGCCACTCTCTTGATTTGTAACACTGTAGGTTAGTTCTGCGGTTCTGACTGAGTGGAATCCTATGTCGTTTTCCTGTCATCGGCCTCATCATTTTTGTTGGGCTCATCACCTTGCTGTGTGTGGTCACAGCCTGTTCACTCCCACGGCCGTCAAGTGCTCCACTTTATATGTGGCTCATAATCTCGTCCCTCCACTGTCGATGGGCCTTCGTGTTGTATCTAGGCTTTACAACCTGTGCTGCTATGAATAATTTTTCCTGTATTTTGGCAAACACACATGCATTTCGCCTGGTTTTAACTAAGAGTGCGATTGCTGGGTCATAGCTGAGTGGATGCTTGGCTTCATCTCTCAAAAAACAAGTTTCTACTGAGTGAACAAATAGTAGAAGAGGGTAAATCTCCTCTTTTAGAAGTTATTCAACTAGTAAATGAGGAAGGAATGAGAGACTGAGACTATAACTCTTTTGTAACCCTTAATGAATTAACAGATTTGGCCATTGAACAGCAATGGCCAAATTTAAGAGTACCGTAAAAATAAAAATAAAAAGTAAACAAATAAATAAAAAAATAGATAAGTTCTTCCTCCTAATGTAAGAATACAATGCAGTGCCATAAATGAAGTGAAGTACTCAAGAAAAAATCAAGCCCGAGTATAAGCAAATCTCTGCAGCCAACTACCAGTTTACAGAAAGCACAGATTAAAAAGGTGCATATTAAACTACTCCTCGGGGTGCAGCCGGCAAAACACAAACTATGGAAAACACAACCAGACAATATAAATTTCAAGGAGGAACATATAGAAAAAAAAAGAACAAACACTAAAAAAATACACCACAGTAAAACTAAACTACAATTTTAGATGATGAAAATATAAAATAGAACAAAGAAGTGATGATCATAAAAGTCAGGCTGTGATTTTATGAGGGGGAGGGAAGAGTTTATCACTGAGCTGGGGCAGATGATGGAGTTTCCTGGGCTGGCTGACAAACTTCTATCTCTCTGGTGGTTAAACGGTGTTTACCTTTTATTAAAGGGCAACATTTTCAGACAGGTTTTCTTTTCGGGGCCTGTTTTGTTTTATGACAAAAAAGCTAATGAAGCATAAAATAATTTACAGGTGATGGTTATGTTTTGCACCAAGCCTACTCTCCACACCCCTGTCCAGACACTGAGATCCCAAAACAAGTGGCAGCCCCAGGAGCCCCTGGCAGGGCCACCTCACTTCTGGGTGTGGTCATGTCATTGGAGGCAATGTCCCTGCTCTATTCTGTGATGCCTGGAAGAATCTGATAGGAGACACGGAGCGGAAGCTTCCCTGTCACCTGCAGGTTCTTGGCCATCACTGTAGAGGGAGCAGGCCCTCACCTCTCCACAGGCCAGATCACAGCCGGAGCCTCCTCTCTGCATGGGGAGTGAGGTTGGTCCTTTTCCAAACACAGTGACAGAGATCTCTCCAGAGGCGAAGATGACACCATTCTTCCTCCAACATGGTCCAACTTCATGTTTTTCTGCTTTGCAGGAAAGTTGACTCAGGGTGGTGTTCAATGCAGAAATCCCAGGTAGGAAAGATGGGCAGATCTCAGGGCTGTATTTGATCTGGGACAGGGAGAGCATGGAGCATGTTGCCCTTGCACCCAGGAGGTGGGTGCTGGGGCTCTGCTTCAGGGTGGAGAGAGGTTATTGCTTATCCTCCAGGTTCCAAATAAAAACCCTTCTGCCCGGCCGGTCTTGTTCTCCCTGGATCCTCAATTCTAACAAGGACTGTCTTTTTGTCACCTCCCTGGGAAGGACTTTTGGACATAGGAAAGTGGATGTGATTTCTAGGTTCACTGTGTTCTGGTTGATTGCGCTGCCAATAAAATACAATCAAAATACATATTTAATAAATAATAAAATAACCCATAATGAGCAAATGTCATCATGTATTGACACCATCGAGGTTTCCTCCAAGTGTGGGCACAGCTGCAGGCACACCTTGTCTCTTGGGTCAGGACACTGGGTCGAGTGAAATAGGAAACCACCAGTCACTGCAGAAAGGATCCTCATGGAAGAGGTGTGACACGGAAGGTCTGAGGTCCCAGGGCCACCACATGCAGGAGTGACTCCCATTCTGGGAAGGACCTTATTTTATTTTGTATTCACAGTAGTTCTGAAATAGCAGGATGCTGAGACTCAGCACTGGCCAGTTATGCTGTTTCTTTCTTTCCCATTAAATGCTGTGTCAAACAGCACCTGAATACATTTCTTTCCTCTTCCTGGAGAGAGGCAACATAACAGTAGATATGTTGAAACACACGAAAGTACTTGCAGCTTGTGCTTTCAGAAAAAGGTACTGAAAGATTAATTGCACCAAAATGAGGGGAGGGGGAGGATATAAAAGTAAAAAGAAAGATTGCATATCCATGTTCATAGCGGTGGTATTCACAACAGGCAAGATATGGAAGCAACGTAAATGTCTATCAATAGAGGACTAGATCAAGCAAATGTGACTATACCCAGGCAATGGCATATTATTCAACATTAAACACAAGAACATTTTGTTATATGCTGCAACATATATGAAGCTTGAGGTCATTGCTAAGTGATTATGCCAGTAAAAAAAGCCTCCAAAGACTGCATACTTCCATATATGAGGTGTCTAAAACAGTCTAACTTGATGAACGTGAAAGTAGAATGGTGGTTGCCAGGGAAAACTTCTACAGGTAGTGAGGTGTTTTTGTGTAATGGGCACCGAGTTTCAGCTTTCAAGGTGAAATATTCTAGAGATCTGTTGCACCACCATGTGCTTATAGTTAGTACTGTTATAGTACTTTATATTTTAATTTAATTTAATTTTTTTTTTTGGTAGAGACAGGGTCTCACTATTTTCCCCAGGCTGGTCTTGAACTCCAGGCCTCCCTCCAGTGATCCTCTTGCCTCAGCCTCCCAAATAGCTGGGATTACAGGCATGAGCCACCACACCTGGCCTATGGTACTGTATTCTTAAAAATGGTTATGATAGTAAATTTTATATGATGTATTTTTTGCCACAATGAGAAAATGCTTAGCCCTGTTACTAATTTAGAAAAAATGTGCATCAGTTAATTAAAAATAAGTTAGGATGTGGCCTGTGGTCCTTGCTACCCAGGAGGATGAGGTGGGAAGGTCACTTGAGCCCATGAAGTGGAGCCTGCAGTAAGCCACGATGGCATCACTGCACTCCAGCCTGGCTTAGAGAGCAAGATTCTCTCTCTCTTTCTCTGTCTCTGTCTCTCTCTAAACACACACACATGGCCGGGCGTGGTGGCTCACATCTGTAATCCCAGCACTTTGGGAGGCCGAGGTGAGCGGATCATCTGAAGTCAGGAGTTTGAGATCAGCCTGGCTAACATGGTGAAATCCCGTTTCTGTATAAAAAACAACAGCAACAACACACACACACACACACACACACACACACACACACACACTCAGGAAGCAGCAAAATCAGCACCTCCTGAAACTGCATGAAAGACTCATATGCCCCATATGAGAAAGACTCATATGCCACATCTTGAATCAGTCTGCATCTGGCAGGACCCCAGGTGGCTCCACCACATGTAAAGCACTGCCCCAGATGGTGGTGGAGGGAGATCCTAGGGTGGTGACTCTGCTCCACAGGTGGAAGCCTCCAGTCCAGATTGGGGCTGCCAGAAGGCCCAGGAGGGACATTTCCAAGAAGGTGAAGTAGAATATCCAAAGTCTGTAACTTCTTAAAAGAGTAATACAAATAGAAGAAATATCAAGTTTAATGAGTGCTGTCTATAAAATAAACAAAATCAAAGGCAAGTGCTAACTACAGGAAGAACAAATGTTCAGAAAGTGAAAAGTGGTGGAGCTGAAATGAGAAAATTAGAAACAAGGAATGGCTGAACTAGACGTAATTCCTATAGAAATACATCGGGAAGATGAAAGCATGGGAAGAGTGCAAGGAACAGGGACGATGAACTACTGCATTCGCCTCTGTGCTGTGCAGCAGACAACGGCTGCAACTGAAAACCAAGCAGTACTAATGAAGGAGTTGTATTTAGACATATGGAAGTGAAAGTTGAGAGACTTAGCTAAAAAGGTGGAAAATGGTTGCCTCCAGGAAGGCAGAAACTGAGAAGATGCAGAGAGAACTCCTTTCCCTAGAGAAACCCTTTGCAAATATTTGACGTTTTGAATTATGGGCAATTAAACTTTGATTAACAAAAACTGCAATGAATATGAAAATTTATACCTAGTAAGAACTGAATTCAACAAGTGATGCATGAGTTAACTAAAATATACGACTATTAATTATATATCATAAATGCATAAATGTGTGAATGACATCAACCCTAAACAAAAACATAGAAGAAAACTTCAATAAACACATCTCTGGATAAATACATAGCACATGAATGAATTCCCTACCCCAACTCCCTTACTGGTTACCGTGGGAACCCAGGCGGTGGGAGGAAACAGGACCAACTAGAGTCCCTCATCCTTCTCTTCCTTCCAGTCAGGTCCTGGATCCACTCCTGCTACAAGGAGGACTCCCATCTCCACCTTGAGTCTGTCTTACAGGCGTCACCCTTATGCTCTCTGCCAGGACTGCCTTACGTGGGTGGGGCTGAGGTTGCCTTGAGCAAGAAGTGCAGCACCCATCTGTGTGCCCCAAGACCAGCAGTCAGGAGACATCAAGAAACGGTGGGAGGAATATCCCACCTCTTACTCATGTACTTTCCCGGTTCATTTGTCCTTCATTAATTCAGTCCACACCTCCCCAGCAGTCACTTTACGCCAGAACCTGATTGACCCAAATTCTTCAAAGTCAGAAAACCTGGAAGCACTCTCTATCCCCTCCCTGATTTCACACTTCAGCTCTGTGTCATCACATGTGGGGTCCAGCTCTTCAGGGCAGATGTTCCCCCACAGGGTCAGCCCCTGAATGTTGGCGCCAGATGTCCCACCTCCATCATTTCACCGCGCTTTGTGTTCTGCTGTGAATCTGTGGGTCATTGGAAACTAGCAGGGAAAGGGGATGAGGAGGGGAGATGTTTTCATGCTGTGTCAAGGCATTGAGACAGACCTCTCCTTCTCCCCTGAACCTTACACTTTATCCACTCCCAGATGTATGAAATAAAACACAGACCAGAGATGTCTATTTAAACAGTGAACATCTATAGTATAAAATTTTACATAGGTAGTAGACATGGAGTAATGCATAAGACTGTGTCAGGGGGGTGAACGTACCTCAAGGTGACAAGAAAGCTGGTCCTAGGCTTGTCAGGAGGAGTCATCACCAAGACACTCATAAAGCTCACCTATGACATTCTAATTACTGTACATTCTAATTACTGATTCAAGATGTCAAGCTGGGGCATATGAGTCTTTCATGCAACATCCCCCTGCTCAGCATCATTGTGGGGATCCCAGAGCTTGAGGCCACAGTCCCGAGGCCCATCCTCCTGCCAGCCCTAGAGGAATTGGGCCCCAGGGTGAGGACAGACTTACAGAAGGTCCAGGGTCTGTGAGTGTTTCGGCCAGAGTGGGAACAGTGGAGAGGAGCAGCCCTGTTCCCTGCATCTCCTTTAGAGGGGAGCAGGGCTTCACTGACTCTGCGCTTTCTTCTCCAGTGCCCTGCATGGTGAATGTCACCCGCAGTGAGGATTCAGAGGGCAATATCATGATATGCTGGGCTTCCGGCTTCTATCCCCCAAATATCACACTAACCTCGCATCGGGATGGGGTGTCTTTGAGCCACAACACCCAGCAGTCAGAGGGTGTCCTGCCTGATGGGAATGGAACATACCCGACCAGGGTGACCATCAGCATTGGCCAAGGAAAGAAGCAGAGTTTCACCTGCTATGTGGAATACAATGGTAATCACAGCACTCACCCTGTGCCCCCTGGTGAGCCTAGGGTGACCTGGAGAGGATCAGCTGTGGCTCTCTGCCTGACGTATAACAAGTGCCTTTTTTCAGGGAAGGTGCTGGTGCTTGAGATTCAACAGCCAGCCAATCCACATGTTCCTGCTGCTGCTGCTCCTCCTCCTGATATTTCTGCTGTTATTATTGCTGCTGTTATTGCTGCTGTTATTACTGTTGCTATTATTGTTGTTATTCGTTGCTGCAACCTTCGTTGCAAGAAGAGAACATCACGTGCAGAGGGTCCAGGTGAGAAAAGGGGGCAGTGGCTGGAGATGGGAGGGCTCCTGTCTGGGCACTAGGGTCCCCTCATTGCTCCTGCGCAGATAGGCATGTAGGTGACCAGGCTTCTGGAACAGGGGTTGGAAGTTGGGGTATTTGGGAGGAGAACAGGAGCCACATCTCCAACTACACCCCTAAATCCTTCCCAAGTTAGGGCTGGGGAAGGCCTTCGAATGTCTAGCTATGGCCTCTTCCTGCTGCAGGTGAGGAGTGGGCAGCAGGGATGGCCCCTGCTCTGTCCTCATCCCGGTCTCTCTGTCTCTCTGGCTCACTAGGGCGCATCCAGGTGGGGTGAGTTGGGAAACACATGCGGAGTGCTGAGGGCCTGGATGATCACAGCCTCAGAGGGAGCAAATAGTAAAGGCAGCTGTGATCTGAGGAGGGCTAGAAAATTGAGAGGAATCGGAGGAGAGGCGGTGCCCCTAGTCCCTTCCTCTCTGCATCCTCTCCCTTGTTTCTCCAGCCATTTGGTGGGGGAGACACCAAGGAAAAGATACATGAGGCCCAGACTGGGGGCCCTGCCTGTGCAGCCCCTTGGAGGCCCTCTTGTAACAAGGAGGGTCCTGGTCGCACACAGCCATCTCTGTCCACTTTGCAGATCCTCATGCGCCTCCTCCAGGAGCTGCCTGGGGGGTGTCATGTCCTCTGGGTCACTCGAGGCATTGCTCTTTCCAGGTTCCCACCACCTGGCCTCCCTGTGTTTCCATGC